ATCCCAGGTGTCCAACAGAGAGCTGGGTCAGAGGATGCTCTTCCCATTCCCAACTGCTGCTGCCAGGGAGGAATTAGGGAATGGCAGGGAAGGGGAGCAGGCTTCCAGCTTCCACTCTGTGCTTACCAGGGGCTGTGTTTTGTGCAGGAAAAGCTGCACCTGATGCATTCAGAGCATGCCAACACCACCCAACACACTGCAGCATCTTCCTCATCCCCCCTTTAAAAACCTGCAAGTTAAGCAGCGAGTGAGCTTCCCTCAGAGCAGCCTGCAGCCAGCAGTAATATTTATTTTCTCTATTTGTTTTAAGCCTGGGCAGACTGTGGTTTCCTGCACACTGTCCTGATGGAGCCCTGCCCAGCGAGCGTGCAATGCCCCCAGCCCTAATGTGCCATTAATGATAGGTTAATGTTCAGTATAATGTTTTTTGGACTATGGGTTCATTACACTTCTGAGTGCAAGGTCCTTCTGCAGAGCGCCCAAGGTCCCATTGCATTATATCATGCAATAAAAATACCCTTTTCATATCACACACTAATAAACTGTATTTGAAATGCTGTCTGAGGGCACGGCCATTGTCTTCATGGGCTGTGGCTGCAACAGTTGGGATCTTTTTTATTGTGGTTTTTTTGTTGTGTTGAGTTCAGGATTTTTTTAATGGAAGGCGTGATTTGTCTGTGCTGCTTGGTGATAAATGGAGTTCAGGCTGGGAGGGTTCCTGGAAAAAGAAATGTTAAAAGGGTGGCGCCACTGCAACCAGTGCAGTGCCACTCATTTCCCAACCTTCCTTGCATAACCATGAGGAATTTTATTATCATTTTTAATTGGCTGCCCTCCCCAGTCAGCCTCTCACTGTGCCAAGGGGAAAAAATATAAGGAGGTGCTGGAGTGGGTTAGATCCATGTTCTCCCACCATTTGGGATTCGGGTTCCTGCTGTGTTCAGGGAGCACCACCCTTGGGAGGAAAATCTCTCATTTTTGGTGATTTCCAAGGAAATCTGTGGCTGACTGGCATTCCACACTGGGAATGTGCTTTGTCACCATTCCAGGCTGGTAGCTGCCTGTTCAGGGACCTTTAGAGCAGTCTGACATAAACCCTGACTCCTTCTGTGCCTGAAATCCCAGGCACTGCATGAGGGGCATTGTTTATGGTCTGCTGTCCTTTGGCATTGGGCTGAACTCCCTGGAGCTCTCCAAACACAAACATTTTATGGCCAGAGGGTCCTGCTTGTGGGAGAGGCTCTCCTGAAGCTCTGCTCCTCCCTGGATCTGTGTGTGAGGGGCAGTGGAAGTTGTCAGCTGTGCTTTAGACTGAAGGGATTTGGGGCTGTGGGTGGTGATTTTGTATCCCAGAGGGAATTTCATTCCCCTGGACCTGCAGCCCTGCCCAGGATGCCATGCAAGGTCTGTGGCAATAAGCTCAGGGTGGGTTATTATCAGAAACAAAGATTCTTTTTAGGCCAGAGGAGAAGGCCATGAAAGCAAATTGCTGAATTTTAGGGGTAGATAAAATGATGGAACTTTTACCCTTGAATAATGGGGATTTAATTGACTGGGCTAAATGATTGATGGCTGGTGAGCACTGAGTTGGAATTACCAGGGCTCTGTGTTCAGGAGGGCACTGCCCTTTTAATTTGCTGTCAGGTATTTAAATCCTTCGCCTCCCCCTCTGCCAGGAGCTCCCCTGTGAAAGGGTTAAACCTGTCTGGTGGGACACTGCAACTGGAGAAATGTACCCTTTATCAAGAGAACCAGAAGAGACAAGTTCATTTAAGAAGCCTGGTTTGTCATTGTTTATCTCATTTTCGGGGTTGACACACAAAATTAGGCTGCCTGACACTCACTCAGGGCCAGCCCTGGCCCTGTCCTGTCTGACCTTTCCAGCTCCAGGCTCTGCAGCAGCCACTTCCATTCCCTGTAGGATTCCCAGTGCATCCCACTGAGCCAGGGCACGGCACACCAGTACCAGACCAGTAAGAAAAACCACTTTGGGGCTGGATTTTCAACCTCTCTTCTGCTGGCTGTGCTGAGTTCCAGGTATTTTTTAAGGCTGAATATTTTAAAACCTATTTCCCTCTGGCTGTGCTATTTCCAGGTATTTTTAAGGATGAACATTTAAAAATTGGGAAGGAGGTGGCTATTGCACACCTGTTATTTTCTTACCAGGCCAGTAAGGAAAACCACTTTGGTGCTGGATTTTCAACCTCTTTCCTACTGGCTGTGCTGAGTTCCAGGTATTTTTTAAGGCTGAATATTTTAAAACCTATTTCCCTCTGCCAGTGCTATTTCCAGGTATTTTTTTAAGGCTGAACATGTAAAAATTGGGAAGGAGGTGTTTATTGTTTTGTTGTGAACATGCATAGGAGTGTGAGGAGATGTGAAATACACAGGGATGGGATCCTGTGTCCCCAGACATGAAGCTGTGCATGCCACAGCAGGCAGGGAAACCTCACCAGAAGTGGAGCTGGTCCCTGCAACAGAAAATGCATTTCAAGCTCCCACACATTTACCTTTCCTCTGTTCCCTTGCAGTAAATCCCTGCAGGAATATTTAAGCCCAGCAGGTTGCTAGCTTTGGGTGAGAACATATTGCTCACTCCTGGAGTCAGGGCTGGGACTTTATTTGTGGCTGAGGCAGCCTCCAGGATTTATTGGCAGTGTCCAAGCTGCTGGGGCTGTCATTGTCTCCTCTCTGAGGTGACAGCTCTGTCCTGCTGCATTTCTCCCTTGGAGGTTTTGTTTTTCATTTGGGTTTTTCCCTTGTTCTTCCTTCCCTCCCTGTCTCAGCTCCCTGCCCCTTCTCTCCCCCATCCTCTGCAGAGGAATCTCCAGTTTCAGGCACTGCTTTCTGAGTTTTGTGTGCTCTGGGGAATTGTTGCAGTGCTCAGGGTGCCTGAAAAGGGGGGAATGTGGGATTGGGTGCTGAATAATGACAGAATTATGGAGGGCAGGCATGAGTTTGTGAAGAGCTTTCTGAAGGGACAGAAAACCACTGCAGCTGCAGTGCTGGAGACCTTGGAGGAAAACTCCAATAATTCCCTGAGACATTTTTGGGTGCTGAGCCAACTGAGGTCCCTCTCTTGGAGTTTGTGCTGATTTTCACTCCAAATCTCACTGCAAAAGGCCAAGGCCAGGTTTGATGCACTCCTGCATTGCCCCCAGCTCTGTGGGGTTCTTGATAAATGGTTTTCTTGCAGTTGCAGGTGCTGCTGAGTGAGGTCAGGAATTAAAAGCAGCAAAGGGGTTTGGAAGTAGATTTTGGCACATCCCTGAGCACTGGACATCTTTGGGCACTTGTGTCCTCCTTGGGTTTTGGTGCCTGACCTGAAAATGCTGCAGGCTGTCCACCAAGATTTGCAAAAATGGGTCCTGCTGAGTTTTGGTGGAAATCTCTTTTCCCATTCAAAACAAACAACTCAAAAAAATCAGCCACCAGATTCTGAAAAAAGAGTTTCTAGCAAAAACATCCCTTCAGCCTGGGAAGAATCCTCACTGGAGCAGGACAGAGAAATCTGAAAAGTAATTTCAAGTTGAACTCATTCCTAAGGAGAAAAGCGTGGAAACCCCCAGGTTGTGGTGGAATATCCTCAGAAAACAAAGCAAACAGGGTGAGCAGTGTGCAGAGCTGAGGTTTCAGAGCTGAAATTTCGTTTGGAGCAGCCTGAATGCAGGGATGTCCTGGGGGTGAGGGGGCTTTGGCTGCGGGGTCTCTCCTAAAAGAGAAAGGCCTGGCTGGAATATTTGGGTTTGATTGCCCCAGTTCATCTGCCCTGCCCTGTCTGTGCCTCCTGGGTGTTCTCTCCTGCTTCTCTCTGGTGTCCTTGGCTGCTCTGTTGAAGAGGTGAAGCAGCTGCTTCTAGGCTGTGTTGGGGATAAGCATTTCTCTTATTCCTGCACTTTTCCACCCAAAACCACCCCAGTGCTGGGCAAAACACCCCATCCTGTCACTCCCTGCCTTGTCCAGAGTCCCTGTCCAGCTCTCCTGGATCCCCTTTGGGCTCTGGAGGGTCAGTGCACATGGAGGATGTACGGGGGTTGTTAAAGAGAGGAATTTTGAGATATCACACCCATTTACAAGCAGATTAATGGGGTTTTTTTGGGATATCATTTTACCCAAACACCATTCAACAACTGCTCAGCTGTCCTGGAATGGGGCTGGCTCAGAACACAACGAGCAAATGGAATATCAACCAAAAAAAAAGAGCATTTCCAAGGAGTCTGGGCTGCCTCCCACTGCTCTGAGTCAGAGCTTTATGGCACTGCTGTGGTGCAGCCATGGGATGCTGCAGTGGGGTTTTTGCTCCAGAAGGGCTGTGTGTTTTTCTCCTGTGGGGTTTTGCTCCAGAGGGGCTCTGTGTGTTTCTCCGTTGGGTTTTTTGCTCCAGAAGGGCTGTGTGTTTTTCTCCTGTGGGGTTTTGCTCCACAAGGGCTGTGTGTGTGTGTTTCTCCTATGGGGTTTTGCTCCAGAGGGGCTCTGTGTGTTTCTCCGTTGGGTTTTTTGCTCCACAAGGGCTGTGTGTGTGTTTCTCCACTGGGATTTTTGCTCCAGAAGGGCTCTCTGTGTGTTTCTCCTGTGGAGTTTTTGCTCCAGAAGAGCTGTGTGTGTTTCTCCAGTGGGGTTTCGCTCCAGAAGGGCTCTGTGTTTTTTCTCCACTGGGATTTTTGCTCCAGAAGGGCTCTGTGTGTTCCTGCACTGGGGTTTTAGTTCCACAAGGACTGTGTGTGTTTCTCCAGTGGGTTTTTGCTCCAGAAGGGCTCTGTGTGTTTCTACAGTGGGATTTTTGCTCCAGAAGGGCTGTGTGTGTGTTTCTGCAGTGGGGTTTTTGCTCCAGAAGAACTGTGTGTGTTTCTCCAGTGGGTTTTTGCTCCAGAAGGGCTCTGTGTGTTTCTCCAGTGGGGTTTTTGCTCCAGAGGGGCTGTGTGTGTGTTTCTCCTGTGGGGTTTTGCTCCAGAAGGGCTGTGTGTGTGTTTCTCCCGGCTGACCTGCCTGTCCCCTTGCAGGGCCACCCCTTTGTGGTGCAGTACAACGATGGCAATGCCGAGGTGGTGTCCATGTGGGTGTGCAGGATGCTGGAGGAGCGGCGAGCCCAGGGACCCCAGTGAGCTCTGCAGCACCCCGAGAGCTCTGCCCACACCAGGATCTCCACCTTTGGACTCTCAGTTTATCCAGATCGTATTTTACTCCAGCTATTTCCTACAAGCATCAACAAAATCAGGGTGTTTGTTGGCTGCCTTTTCCTCACCGCCACATTAAGGAATTTTCTTAATTGTTTCTTTTGTTGCTGAGCAATTTCCAGGTTTATCTTCAGTTATACTGTACACAGCCTTAAAGCAAGTATTTTATATCTCTATTTTTGGGTTACTGAATGTTCTGTTTCCTGACTCCAGAGTATTTTTTAACTGTTGCTCCTGTCCAAGTGTCCAGAAGATTTCCTGACGAGTTGGTGGCTGTCTCTGAGTGCAGGCAGACACTAAATACTGGGTTTAAGTGTAAAACAAAAGCAAACAGACAAAAAAACCAGAAATATCTGGGCTTGCCCACCCTGTGAGGAGGTGAGGGGTGCCAGGAGGGTCAGCATCACACCAGTGGGTGACTGGGAATGCCCTCTGTGCTCCCAGTGCCAGCTGCTGGGACATGAGGAGCATCCATGGCCGGGCTGTGCAGGCTGATCCCTGGACCAGAGAGGGTTTGGAAAAGGGAGGAGAAAGAGGACAGGGCTCTGCTCTGCAGCCAGCCTGGGAGAGCTGGGAATGCTCCCCTGGAGAAGGGAAGGATCCAAGAATCCTCAGAGCCCTGCCAGGGCCTGGAGGGGCTCCAGGAGAGCTGGAGAGGGACTGGGGACAAGGGATGGAGGGACAGGACACAGGGAATGGCTCCCACTGCCAGAGGACAGGGATGGACGGGATATTGGGAATAATCCTTCTCTGGGAGGGGGGGGAGGCCCTGGCACAGCTGTGGGCTCAGCCAGGTGAAGCACAGGCTCCAGGTTGGGTGCTCCAGGAAAAAGGAATGGCTGCAATGTCTCTGCTGGGTGCTCCTGGCTCCTGCAATTCCTGGGGACGTTTCCACAGCAGACCAGCACAGGTTGGATCAGTGCTTGTGTAAAAATGCTTATTAAAAGGAAAAAAAAATAAACCATGGATGTGAGAGGCAGGTTTGGGGTGAGTGAGTTGGGTGGGAGGAGGTTGGGGTTTGTTTGCTTGTCTTTGCATTAGAAATAAACTTTTGCTAAAAAATAAAAAAAGACTCGGGTGGTTTATTTTCTACCAGCAGCTTCAACCCCCCCACACACAATTCAGTGAATTATTCCTCCCAAACCACTGCAAACCCTAAATGTTATTCTGGAAGCAGCCTGGAAAAGACTTGCTTTCCTTCCTTGGAGGGATCGTTTGTCTTCTTTTGAAGTGTAGAGGTTGCAGGCTTGAACTTACAGACTAAAGTTTGTCTTAATTGCTCTGATGTCACAACCTCGCTGGCAGATAAGAGGCGATGGATGAGCCGGCAGCCCCCGTTCCTCCAGGTCCTTCTGGAAAGTGAGACAAATTCCCTCCCTGTGAGCCAGGCAGGGCGGCGGCAGCGCTGCCATTTATTTATCCCTAACAGTTCAGCAGCTTTTCCTGGATAAAAGGTCTCTCTCTCCCCCTCTCTGTCTCAGATTTAGTTTAAAACTCAGCGATCCCAGGGCTTTTCCTGCTGCTTTTCCTGCCAGGGAGGTTGGGAGAGGAAAACTCGCCCTGGAAATCCCAACTCTGTGTGGGATGGAGCTGGGAAAAACCTGTCTAAAGCAGGGGCAGGATTATAATTCATGTGGTTCATCAGTGGGATGAGTCCAGGGGAATCTGGGGCCTCCATCTCCTTTCCTCACCCGAATCCCGGGATTCAGTGCAGCCGGGGATCTGCTCATTGCCCCTTCCCAGCAGATTCTGGGGGATGGGGCTGGAGGAGAGGGCAGGGGAGGGAAGTTTGGGATGGAGCAGCTCCTCTCAGCCTTGCTGGCATTCCCAGCTGAGCAGCAGCGAGGTTGGGCCTTCCCAAAGCTCCCCCTCCTGCCTGGATACGGGGTCTGGGGCTGCTGTGTCCCCACATGGACCCCAATTCCTGCCACACCCACCACACCGAGGGGCACAGCTGAGGGGGAATGCAGGAAATTTGGCCAGGACGGAGCTCACCCACGTCCTGGACCCAGCCCAGCTTCTCTCCCTGCACCAGGAACATCCCAGTCCGTGTCTGTGCCTTGTGGTGAGCCTGGCACGGGGCACCCCAGCAGTGCAGGAACCCCCAGACCTGCCCCAAGGGATCCCCCAGGGATGCAGCACCCCCGGGCTGAGCAAACCCTGCCTCGGGGCACTCAAAAATCACTTTGAGGTGGCCAGGACACAAAACACGCCCCAGGTGTAACGTCACCCTGTCCAGAAAATGTCCAGGGATGGGAATGAAGCTCCAGGGGGATTTTCCTGGAAGTGCTGGGTGCTGGGAAGGGGCTCAGCAGTGCTGCTCTCCCGCAGGCAGGAGCTGACCCGACCTGGGGCTGCCCGGGGATGGTTTTTCCCTCTCTCCTCTCCCCTGCTGCAATTTTTTGGAGTCTGAATTGTGGCGTTTCTTGGCTGGAAAGGTGGCAGGAAATGCAGCAACATCACACCCTGCAGCTGAGTGCTGCTGGGAGCATGGCATCGGGGTGTGTAAGGAACTCAGCAGAGGATCCCAGAGCTGCAGAGTGACCCCGATCCCCTCCTCACCCCGGCAGCCCCACACCAGTGTCACCTCTCTGTCTCCCCTCCTCAAACCTCAGTGACGATGATTCCCGGGAGTGTGGATGTGGGGAAAACGGAATGTGTCCCATCTGTGCCAAAACTTCCAATATTTCCCCCATTTCCCTTTCCCATTGCCCGGCAAAGCTCCCGTGAGAAGAGCCCGTGGAAGTTCGCCTTTAAATCAGCACAGAATTAGAAAATATTTTGTTTCTCGTATCCCCCGGCCGAATGCAGCCCGCTGCCGGCACTCCAAAGGCAGAGCGCCCGTCTTTGTTTCCCGAGGAGCCTGAAGGGCCGGGAGGGCAGGCGGGGCTGCCCGGGGTCCCGCACCTGGCGCTGTCCCCGCGCCCCACGCCGGCTCTGTGGTGCTGAGCGATAATCAGCAATCGCCGGGAACGGCTCTCGGGAGCCTCATTTGATCCCTGGATACCCCAGAGGAAAAGCCAAGGGAAGGGATGGAGCTGCGGGTGGCGTGGGTGCTTTCCTGCCTCCCGGTCCTGCAAGGAAAGTTCACCCGGAGGGACCCACGGGCAAGGACGGCGGGAGCGTGCGGGCAAAACCGGGGAATTTGGGGCTTTGTTGGGAAAGAAAAACTCCTGCAGGGAGCCAGATCCCCTGGTGGAGAGCGAGAGCGGCGGGAGCAGCGGCTCGGAGGCGGAGGGGCTCGGAGGGGGCGATGCCCCCGCAGCGGGCACTGCCCCCGCCGTGCCCAGCGCTGCCCTGGGCAGGACAGTCCGGGAGCCACCGCATCCCACGGGAGCTGCCCCGGGAAGCGCCGGGAGCCCGGGCTGGGCAGGGCAGGAGGGGCAGGGACTGTCCCAGGTCGCGGCTCCTCTCTGCGGGGCTGCTCCGGGGGCAGGGCACACACTGAGCCCCTTCGGGCAGGGAACAGGAGAGGCAAATCCCGTTTCCAGGATGCTCCAGGAGCCCCCGGGCTGCTCAGCTCCTCGGACACAGCCCTGTCCTCCTCACACTCCCGTTGGGATGTGACACCCGCAGACAAACGCAGAGAAACTCGGGGACACCCCGGGGGCCGCCCTTGCCCAGCTGCCACCGGCGGCCCTTCAGGGAACAAACACACCCCAGGTGCCCCCGAGAGCCGCAGAGGATCCAGCTGTGCCCCTGAGCCGCTCCCGGGGTGCCCCTCTGCGCCCAGGGCGGGTGTTTGTGGTGCCTCTGCCCGGGGAACCAGGTGAGGAGCAGCCCGAGCCCAAAGGCTGCAGCTGGGTGGCAGCGATGTCCCCGCGGGGACAGCCAGGCCCGGGGGGCTCACGGGAGGAGCTGGAGCCCACTGAATGATGCTGAGGTCCTGGGCTGTGTTAGGATAACTCATCTTCGGCATTCCCGGGGGGCCCCACAGGCACCAGAAATTTTGGAGGGATTCAGGGGGGTGTCCTCTAAACTTTCTGGCTTCCTCCTGCTCCCCCAGTTCACCAGCACCGGCCAGCCTGGACTGGGAAAACCTAACGAGGAAAAAGAGAAATTTTAAAATCTCCTATTGCAGTATTTGGTCACACGGAATAAAAAAAATAAAAAAATAATTTAAAAAAAAGGTTGTGCAAGCTGCTCTAGAGGAAGGTGTCCCTGCCCATGGAGGTGGGGTTGGAACGAGAGGAGCTTTAAGGTCTCTCCTAACTCAAAGCAGCCACAGCGAGCCTGTGATCCTGCGCCTTTCCCGCGGGGAAGCTGCAGCGGGAGCTGCGCTGAGCCCGGGCCGCGCTCCCTCCAGGCTCTCCATAAAGCACCGGACAGGATTTATGGATTGAGCCTTCCCGGCCGCTGCCGCCGCGGCTGCTGCCGGCCCGCGGAGCAAGTTCAAGGTTTGTCAGAGCCGGAGAGCCGGAGGTGTTTAATGGCAAATGGATGTCTGGGGCTTTTATGGGCAGCAGGAGCAGCAAAACTTCCCCGCGGCCGCGCAGAGCTGCCAGGCCCGCAGGTGAGTGCACGGCCCGGCAGGAGCCGCAGCGCTGCCCGCGCCCCGTCCCGCTCCATCCCCGCCCGGCTCCTCCCCGTCAATAAAGCCGTGCCCATCGACCCCGCAGCCGCTCCGGCCCGGGAGAGCCGGGAGCCTCAGAGGCGCAGGGGGGGTTGGGTGGCGGGGGACAAGGTGACAGCAGCTGCGGGGCCGGGGCACACTGGGGACAGCCGGGGGGCTGTGGGGATGGACAGAGGGGGAATGGTGGGGGCCACAGCAAAGGGGGTGCGCGCTGGGAGAGCCGGGATGCGCGGAGAGGCGGGGGTCAGGTGTGCCCAGCCCCGGGAAGGGATCCCGAGAGGAAGCCCCCGGCTCCCCCGAGCCCCGCACGGCTCCCGCTGCTCCCCCCGGCCCGCGGGGCTCAGCAGCCGGGTCAGGCCGAGTGTGCCCGGCCTGCAGAGAGCCGCCGCCCGCTCCCTTTGTCAATGTCCAGTAATTAAAATGTCACCGTTTAATTTTCAGGCCTCTCGGAGCAATCTTTTCCTAATAAAGAGTCTAATCGAAACGCTCCTTCCCCCGCCTCGGCGGGAAGGGCCGCGGAAGAGGCTGCGGAGGTGCAGAGCCGCCGCGGATCGATGGAGAGAAGCCCGGATTGATCGGCCTCTAAAATTAAATTTATTGGGGTCATGGTTTTATATGGTGCTGATACAACTGTTAAATGGGGAACATTCATTTCCAATAGGAGGCGTTTATTAAACTTCCACTGAATTAGACCGCCGTGATTTATGTGGCAATCTCGGCTCAGCCCTCCAGGAGCGCGGGGCCTTCCGCGCCCGCCACGCGTGATTATTTATTTATACACCCGTGACACGGCTCCCTAAGTTTTAACCTAAATTATCCACCGGCTTCGTCTGCCGGCGGCACCGGCCCGGGGAGCGGGGAGGGACGGGGGTCCCGTCGGGGCGCGGCGCCCACCCCACCGGCCGCGGCCCCTCCGCGCCCCCGGCCCCGGGGGTGTCCCGGGGGGGGTCCCCGCTTTGGGGGGCGGCGGAGCCCGCAAACGTCCCGGCTCTCGCGTGCGGCGATCGTTGAGCGTTAATTAGAAATTCATTACAATTAAAAGCCGCGCGCACACGCCTTAATTACATCTGATTTTTAATTCCGAATCCGTGTTTACACAGTAAGCGAGACGTACCTCCTGATTATCCCCAATACTCTTTATACTGTACTAATTATGTAAATTAAACCTAATTAACTGACAAAAACTGCAGTCAATTCAACTGTTAAAAGATACGGCGGTGGCGAGGAGCGGGGAGCGCGGCCGGGGCGGCGGGGCCGGGGTCGGGCCCGGGGCCGCTCCCCTCCCCGGGGCTCCGCGCCGCCGTCGGGGCCAACCGGGGCCGCCTCCGCCGCTCCGGGCTCCGGCCGAGCTCCGCGGGCACCGGGCAGAGGCGCGGCGGATGGAAGCGGGGCAGAACCGCGTCCTCCCGGAGCCCCCGTTCTCCTCCCCGGGCCCGGCGGTACCGGCTCGGTCCGCGCCGCCGCCCGCTCCCGGTGCCTCGCAGCCCGGCGCGGCTCCCGCGGCTCCGCGGGTGCCGAGCGGGGCGGAATCACCCGGAACGCGGTGCCGAGCGGGGCAGGATCCCCGGAACGGAACGCGGTGCCGAGCGGGGCTCGACCAGCGCGGGAGCGTCTCACCGCGCTCCTGCCTCCGTACGGCTGGAGGAGAGGGGGGGGCTGGCGAGGATAAATAATTAAAAGGCGAGGAATAATTACCGGCTCGGGTTGCGATCTTTGCGGGAAGGCCGCGCCGCAAGGCCCGGCCGGCAGCGCCCGGCCTGCGTCCCCCCCGACGGCGCGTCCCGGGGGGAGCGCGGCCGGAGCTCGGCTCGGCCGCGGAGGAGAAGGTGGCTCCGCACCCGCGTTTGGCTCCGCGGCGGCTCCGCCGCATCCTGCCGGTGCCGCTGGTGATGGCGGGGAAGGAAGGCGCGGGGGCACGCACAAAAGTGATAGCTGGGGGCGATCCGCGCCGTTATTAACTTCTGTTTGATCGCTGTAATTGCGCCGATCGCGGCCGGACGCGATGATTAATTACAGTTTAATTAAGGTGGCCGTGACGAGCGCCGCATGCGGGAACCCAACGCGGGCAGGGATGCGGCGGGGGGCCCCCCCCCCCCCCGCCCGCCCCCGCCGCTCACCCTCCGGTGCGCCCGGCGCCTCCGCCATAGCGCTGCGTCACTTCCGCCGCCGCCGGGGGCGGGGCCTCGCGCCCGCGGTGCCCGACCGCTGCCGCCAGGGGGCGCTGCCGCTGCGCCACGCCGGCACGACCGGCGGACACCGAAGCGCCGGCTCTCCTAAGCCGCTCGGCCGGTCCTGTCGGTCGGTCCTGCCGGTGTGGCGTGAGCCCTCGTGGGGAACGAAAAACACGAGCTCGCCCCCCTCTGCCCCCTCCTCCCGGCGATTTCGTTGCCCTCCGTTGTCCCCCCCTCGTCCCCGGTACCGCTCCCGCACCCGCGCCCCGCACCGGAGCGCGCATCCCGGCTGCGAGAGGGATGCGCGGCAGCAGCGCATCCCCGATTTCGATGGGGTCCCTCCGCCGCTCTCCCCGGGCTCCTCTTTTCGTTACCGCCCGCTCCCCACGCAAACTTTCAACGAGCATCGCTCCCCCCGGGCCGGCGGCGCGGCGGGAGGCGGCGCGGGGGGGACCCGGGGGCGCGGAGCCCCACGCAGGTGCGGCGCGGGGCTGATCCCCGCTCTTACCTCGGGCTGCCCGGGCGGGTCCCCGCTCGGTGGCGGCCCCCCACGCCCTCCCCCCCTCCTCCCGCTCCCTCCCCGTTCCGCCGTGCCTTAAAGCCGCGCCGTGATTGACTGGAGCGCATCGGTGATTGACGGCGGCGGGGTCCCGGAGGCCGTTAATGTAAATATGCTGGTGCTAAGTGGGTGTGTCTTCCCGTTATTTTAGCTGTCACCGGATCAATGTGCAGCGTCTCCAAGTACGGATCCGGATCCTCCCTCGGTGGCGCGGCTGGTCACTCGCTCTTGTTGCATCTCGCCCGGGCGGACGCGGCGGCGGCGGGGCGGGCCCCGCAGCTCCGGCTGCCCCGGGCAGGGGCTCGCTGCCGACGGGCCCCCCCGGCCGATGGCGGCCCCGGCCCCGGGCTGCGGCCCCTAGTCCCGAGCAGAGCCTGCACGTCCAGCCGGGCTCCGCGGCGCGGTGAGTGCGAGCGGGCGGCGGATGGAGGGGTGGGCACGGGGATGGGGGGGCGCAAAGCGGGGCGCGTTTTCGGGACTCGCTCCCCGTAATTTTGTGTAATTACCACGGAAGCGGCTTAAGCACCGGGAGCCCTTCCCGCTAAGCCAATTTGCCTGGCTCGCTGCTGCCCTTCTGCTACGTGCGGCGGGCGCTGCCCGCCCCGGCCCCTAATCCGCCCGCGCCTAATCGCCTGCCGGGGACGCCACAAAGGGGCTCCGGGCCTCCGCGCCCGCCGCCCCGCTCCGCCCGCGGCCACCGAGCGCCAAGTTTGGGCCCGCCCGCTCCGGCCCGGGCTCGGGCCCCAGGGACGCGCCGGCCGCATCCTCCGGCGCCTTTCGCCGGAGCCCGCCCGGAGCCCGCCGCAAACCGGCACGGCACGGCACGGCCCGGCGAGCCGGCACAAAGGGAAGGGACGCGGCACCTCCCGGGGACTCGGCGAGGGAGGCAGCGGAGGTGGTGACCCCACCGGGGTGCCCTTGCCCCGGGCTCCCGGGTTCGCTCAGCCGCGGGGCCGCGCCCGGCGGGAGGAGGCGGCGGCGCTCGGTACCGGCGGCCGCGGCGCGGGGGATGCGCTCCGGCCCCGGAGCGGCGGGCCCGGAGCGGCGGCGCGGCCCCGGGAGCGCCTCTAACCTGCGCCTTTCCCCGATTTCGTTTTGCAGGGGCGTTTTGGGGGGGAATGGAGGCGATCGCCAGTCAGATGGGAAATGGGAGAGATGCAAGCTCCTCCCCAAATTCAAAGCAAGAGCTGCAGCCGTACCAGGGCTCCAATACCCTCAAGCCCAACCAAGTGGGTGAGACCTCCCTGTACGGCGTGCCCATCGTGTCCCTGGTCATCGACGGGCAGGAGCGGCTGTGCCTGGCGCAGATCTCTAACACGCTGCTCAAGAACTACAGCTACAATGAGATCCACAACCGGCGCGTGGCCCTGGGCATCACCTGCGTGCAGTGCACGCCGGTGCAGCTGGAGATCCTGCGGCGGGCCGGGGCCATGCCCATCTCCTCCCGCCGCTGCGGCATGATCACCAAGAGGGAGGCGGAGCGGCTCTGCAAGTCCTTCCTGGGCGAGCACAAGCCGCCCAAGCTGCCCGAGAACTTCGCCTTCGACGTGGTGCACGAGTGCGCCTGGGGCTCCCGGGGCAGCTTCATCCCGGCGCGCTACAACAGCTCCCGCGCCAAGTGCATCAAGTGCAGCTACTGCAGCATGTACTTCTCCCCCAACAAGTTCATCTTCCACTCCCACCGCACCCCGGACTCCAAGTACACCCAGCCCGACGCCGCCAACTTCAACTCCTGGCGCCGCCACCTCAAGCTCAGCGACAAGACGGCCACGGAGGAGCTGTCGCACGCCTGGGAGGATGTCAAGGCCATGTTCAACGGCGGCACCCGCAAGCGGACCTTCTCCCTGCAAGGGGCGGCCGCCGGCGGGCCCGGGGCCGGCTCCCCCGCCGGCCGCCGCTCTTCCCGCACCCCTACGGCTTCCCCGCCGCCGCGTTCGGACTGTGCCCCAAGAAGCAGGAGGAGGCGCTGGGCGGCGCGGGGGGCGGCGAGGCGGGCAAGGGCGGCGCGCTGCCCCCCGGCATGTTCTGGGGACCCCCGCACCCGCACCCGCACCAGCCGGCCCAGCCGCCGCACCAGCCCGGCGCCGCCAAGGACAGCGGCGTGTACCCCTCGTTCCCCGTGTTCTGGCCGGCCGCCGGCAGCCTGCCCGTGCCGCCCTACCCCGCGCAGAGCCCGGCCAAGGCTGGAGCCCTCGGGCAGCGGCCGCAGCAGCGCCACCCCGCAGGAGGGCGCGGGCGCCGAGGGCGAGCGCTGCCCCAGCGCCCTGTCGCGGGCGGCGGGCGAGGAGGAGCGCTCCGGGGACGAGGCGCTGCTGGCCCCGCTGCCGCTGCCCAGGAAGGGCAGCTACCTGTCCGCCTTCCGCCCGGTGGTGAAGGACGCCGAGAGCATCGCCAAGCTCTACGGCACCCGCGAGGCGTTCGGCGGCGCGGGGCCCCGCGGCCCCGGCTACCTCTCGCCGGACTTCCTGAGCGAGGGCAGCTCCAGCTACCGCTCGCTGTCCCCCGGGGGCGACACGGCCGAGGAGCCCGAGGTGGACGTGGAGTCCAACCGCTTCCCGGAGCCCCGAGGGCAGCCCCGAGCGCAGCGGCAGCAGCGGCGCCTACGAGGTGCGGGGCCGGGCAGGGGGGTCTGCCCCCGGGGGTCCCGCGGGCCGGGCAGGGGGATCGGCCCCCGGGGGTCCCGCGGGCCGGGCAGGGGGATCGGCCCCCGGGGGTCCCGCGGGCCGGGCCGCGCTCCTGACTCGCTCTTTTGTAGGTGTTCGCGCCCGAGAGGGGGGAGCTCCTGCCGCCGCTGAAGCCCGCAGCCTCGCTGGGAGCCCCCGCCGCCTTCCTGTGCACCCCCGAGGCCAAGGGTAACGCGGGCCGGGCCGGGCAGCGAGGGCTCAGCCCCGGCGGGGCCGCCCCGGGGCCGATTTCGTTTGGGGCTCTCGGGAGAGAAGCGAAACAAACGGGATCCGGGCGGGGAGCGGGGCCGGGGCCCCCCCGGGCCCGGGGATGCCGCGGCCGGTGCGGCGGGGATGGGCCGGCGGGGCCGAGCTCCTGCCCCAAGCTACTTTCGAACGGCAAAGCGATTAGGATGTCCGCTAAGAAGGTTTTAACGAGGGCTTTGTCCGTAATTATGTAATTAAGGATATATCAGGACCATACTTTCATTGCTTACGGTTGAAAATCGGTTTATTAACTTTTAAGAGCAAGATAAAGAAGACAATCACTCGGCGGCGGAGGATTTAGAGAGCAGAAAATCCTATCAGGACCAAAGGAATGTCTCTCATCCCAGCCCTGTAAATACCGACAGAGGTAAGCACCGCTCCGCGGGGCGATGCGCGGCCCTGCGCGGCCCCCCCGGCCGGGCTGACGGCGCTGTGGCCCCGCAGGCGAGGAAGGGCTGCCCATGGATGTCACCGGGACGCAGCTGCTGGAGAAGGACATCGAGAACCTGGCCCGAGGTGAGGGGGAGCGCGGCTGGGGGCGCGGGGCGGGGGTCGCGGCACCCCCGGCCCCTCCCCGCCGCTCGAGGTATTTGTGTTTTGTGCAGGAGTGATTAACTCCTGTGATTAATGTAACGTAATGCGATTAGCGCGCGCTGAGCCGCCTCCAGATGGAAAAGTGCGGGCTCCCCTCAACCCCGCCGTGTATTTTTAAACAGATGAGTTACAAAAACTGGTCCTGGAGCAAATGGAGCTGAGGAAAAAGCTGGAGAGGGACTTCCAGAGCCTGAAAGGTACCGGTGCCCCATCCCCTGCCCACCCCCCCCGGCCGGGCGCGGCGCTGACCCCCGGCCCCACAGATAACTTCCAGGACCAGATGAAGCGGGAGCTGGCGTACCGGGAGGAGATGGTGCAGCAGCTGCAGATCGTGCGAGGTGAGGCCGAGCCCCTTCGTACTTTTGGTTTTGTTTTATTTATTTGATTTCCTTTTAAAAAATTAATTTCATTTTATTTATTTCTGATTTTTTTTGTTTGTTTGGCCGAGCGGTTTTCAGTTTATTTTTGGGATTTGTTTGGGTTTTTGTTTGTATGGAGTTTTTTTAATTCCGTTTTTTTGTTATTTTTTTCCTGTTTGTTGTTGGTTTCGTTTGGTGGGTTTTTTTTTGGTTTTTTTTTGTTTTGTTTTGTTTTGTTTTTTTTTTCCCCGTTTTCTTTTATTTCTGCTTTTGTTTCATTCTGTACCTTTTCTTAACTCCTCTCGCGATTCCGGGCTGCCCCGCAAGCGGCTGCGAGGCATCTCTTACCCGGCAGCGAACGAACTTTCCCTCCCGCCATCCCTCCCACTCGGGCTAAATTAAAAACCCGAGCCGTAAAAGCATCTCCCTGGCGAGCCGGGAAAGCCGAGCCCGGCTTGGCGCCCCTCTCCCCCCGTGCCCTGGGGTGCCCTGGGGGGCCCTGGGGGTCGCTCGGGGCGGGCTCAGCCCCGTCAGCGCCGCTCCCCCCGCAGACACGCTGTGCAACGAGCTGGACCAGGAGCGGAAAGCGCGCTACGCCATCCAGCAGAAGTTGAAAGGTACCGGGGGGGTTTGGGGGTCCCGGGGGTCCCTCCCCGCCCGGGGGGGGCTCCGGGGGTGACGGCTCGGTCCCTTGCAGAGGCTCACGACGCGCTGCACCACTTCTCCTGCAAGATGCTGACCCCGCGGCACTGCAGCGGGAACTGCTCCTTCAAGCCGCCGCTGCTGCCCCAGTGAGCCCCCCGGGCCCCCACCCCGAAGCCATGCGGGCAGAGCCCACACAAGCCATTCCCACGAGGAGCCACCTGTACATAGAGCACCCGGAGCCCGGCTCTGCTCGGACTGGCGCCGGGGCGGGGGCGGCCCCGCTCCGCCCCCGCTCCCTCCCCGTGTGTCCGTCCGCTCCTTCCACCCTCGTCCAGACTGGAAACAAAAGTGGCTATGTGCAATGGATATAAATGTACTGTGATTCTCTTGGTACAGTATTTGTCGGATTTTTATTTATTTATGATGTATATTTACCCCCTCCCTTCCTTCCCGCACCCCTGTAAATCCTGGATGTAACGGCACTTTAACGGGCGGCCCGCGGCTCAACACCCTCGCCCGCTCTGCGGACAGCCCCCTCTGTACGTGAGCTCGGTTCTTTAATAAAAACACACTTCAAGAAGCCGCCTGGTGCGTGGGGCTGGCCCGGGGCTCGGGGTCCCGGGCCGGGCAGGCGGCGGGAGGCGCTCCCGGTGCCCGCTCCCGTTGCCCGCTCCCGGTGCCCGCTCCCGGTGCCCGCTGCCCCGCCGGGCTCCCCGCTCCTCCCCGCGCAGCCGGAGCTCATTAATGCCCATTTATATGCTGCTTTCACACATGACGGTATCGCATTAATGAGCTCGGAGAGCGGGCGCGGAGGTGCGCGCACACCTATCAGCCCGAAATAGCCGGTTTTTAGCCCAGAAAATAACCGGGCACCGCAGCCGGGATGGGGAACGGGACCTGCAGCGGCGCGGGGTGAGGTGAGGCGGCACCGGGCGAGCTCCGGGGGACCGGGAGCGGGGGCAGGGATGCGATCCCGGGGCTCGGGGCCGCGGAGGTGCCCGGGGCTGCGCTGCCCGCCGGCCCCGGCAGCTCGGCGGAGAGGGAGCTGCTGTTAATTAGCTGCCGGGCTCATTAGGCCGTTCCGCGGCCTGGGCCGCCACCGCGTGGGCGCAGCCGGCGGTGCAGCTCCCGGTTCTGCCCCGGTTCCAGCCTCGGGATCCGCTGAGCGGGAGCAGCATCGCCCACCCACCCTGGGGGGGAGGAGGAGGAGGAGGAGACCCCTCCCAGCCAGGGCCGGGTGGGATGAAGGTGAAAACTCTCGGGGAGAGAGCCCAGGTGAGGTTTTTGGGTTTTTGTGCGTCCGGGTCTCTCTCTCAAGGTTTCCCTGCCCTGGATCCCCGGAGTGCCCCCGGCCGGGCTGAGGGGCTCGGGGCAGCCTCGGGCAGCGGGAGGTTCTGCAGCGGGATGAGCTTCAAGGTCCTTTCCCAGCCGTTCTGGGGTTCTGGGATCCTTCCTTTGGTCACAGCCACCTGCACAGGGCGTGCCGAGTGCGACAGGAGACCCTGGGCAGAGCAGGGGGTGGTGGCACCCCCAGGCAGGTGGGTGCAGGGGGGTCACCCTGCAGGGCACGGAGGGGACGTGCGACCCAGGGAGGTGAATTAAGGCTCCGAGCTGAGCTGAGAGGCTCTCACTCCAGGCAATGAAACATTTGCACCATTTTGGGGTTTGTAGAGGGGCACCAGAACCTTTCCCTTTGCATTTTGTGCCTCTCTGGGTCGCTGGTGCCACCCCGCAGAATGGCACTGGGTGACCCGCAGAGGAGGGGCCCTGGGTGTCCCTCCAGCCCATAATTTCATCCCGGCCCCGCTGTGCCCACCTGCCCCGGCGGTGCCTCCCACCACGGGCACAGAAATGAGCCATTAGGTTGTATTAATATTGCCCCACTACTTAGTGCTCATTAAAATGTGCTTTGCAGAATTTAATATGCGGCTTGAAATGACACAACGTATTAAGTGCTTAATATACTAGAAATTATGAAACTATTACAGTCTAAGTAATATGAAATAATTAGAGTGAATTAAACTTCACTGGCAGAATGAGGGAAAGGCTTCAAATTTTTTATAGGTTTAAAAAAAAAAATTTTTGTCGTTGTTTAGTCTCAAAATAGTTGAATGTGATAACAGCCCCTGAAAATAAACAGCCGGAGCCAGGATTTTTAAATAATTAAAGCAGGAAGGAGCCCGGAGCGCCTGTGCGCGAGGAATTGGGAATGGGGGAAGCAGAAGGTCTGCTGGCCGCAGCGGATGGCGCTGCTCTTTCGGGCCGGTGGCGGAGCAGAGCCGAGGAGCGGCTGGCCCGGGCTGGTCCATATGCTGTCCCGCTGTCCCTCCCCGTGTCCCGCTGTCCCCCCGTGTCCCGCTGTCCCCCCCCGTGTCCCTGGGGACAGAGCGGAGCTGGCAGCGCCTCGGGGGTGCGCACACCCGAGACCCCCCGGGAAACCCCAGCCGGGATTTTCCCCTTTGGGAAGCGCTCGGAGCCATCCCGCGGGTGCTGGGGTTGAATTCCGGGGGTTTTTCCCGGCAGGAGGCGATTCCCGGGCCCGGGGAGGGTTTGGGCCCGGGGGTGCCCTCAGGAGCGTCTCCAGCAGCGATGCAAGTGCCGGCTTTAAACAGGGGTGGGAATGGATGGGATGGATGGGAATGTGCCACTGGGCACCGAGCGTGTCCCAAACCTCTGCGGCTCCCCGTGTGGATGAGTTTTAGATGGATATTGGGATGGAATTGTTCCCTGCGAGGGTGGGATGGAATTCCCAGAGCAGCCTGGCTGCCCCTGGATCCCAAGGCAGGACGGAGCGCCCTGGGAGGGTGGCAGGTGTCCCTGCCCATGGCAGGGGTGGCACTGGACGGGCTCCAAGCTCCTTGCCACCCCAATTCCCGATTCCAGGAAGGCGCCAGGAGGTGGCGGCCGCGGCGCCGCTCAGCCCCGCGCTGTCCCGGAGCCGCTCCAGCGGGGCTCTGAGCTCCTGCCCCGGCAGTGCCCGGGCTGCCCCGGGGGCACGGCTGCGACATCTGCCCTCCCGAGGAGCCTGTCCCCGTGTCTGGGATGTGCCGGCACTGCCGCGGCTCCCAGCTCGCTGTCCCCGCACCAGGGTGGCAGACAGGGACAGCACCGCTCCCGCTGCCGGCTGCGCTCTGTGCCCCGGCCACTGCTGCTGCTCGTTCCTCTGTCCAGTCCCCAAATCAGCGCTTTGGCCAGGAGGATCCTGCGGGCGCTGTGCCCAAGCTCCAAGGTAAATAACCCCGATGTCCCTTCCTGCCCCCCGAGCGCTCGGGAGCCCGGGAGGTGGCACTGGCTGTGCCCAGCCCCGGCCCCTTGGGAACGCATCCCAGCAGGATCCGCTCCATCACCTTCCCAGGGCGTCCTCTGGGCATCTCCTCCTCTCCCACACCAAAGCTGCGAGCTCCAGGGGCTTTATCCCAGCCCAGCGCTGCTGTGACCCTTTGGGGGTGATCCCGTGGTCCCACAAGGGTGTGGAAGATTCCCGGGATCCTGCCCCCCTGGATGTGTTTGTCCAGGATCCAAACAGGACCTGAAGGGTTCCAGTGTGACCAAAATGTTCCCGTGGTCCCAGGGATGCTGGCGGGATCCTGCCCCCCTGGATGTGTTTGTCCAGGATCCGAGCAGGACCTGGAGGGTTCAACTGTGACCAAAATGTTCCCGTGGTCCCAGGGATGCTGGCAGGATCCTGCCCACCCTGTCCAAGCAGGACCTGGAAGGTTCAGCTGTGGCCAAAATGTGCCGTGAGCTGTGGCTGCCTGCAAATCCAAAAAGCTCTTTCCTGGGAAAATCCCAGCTGTCTCAGGGTCTGGCATAGGGACAAGGTGATGTTCAGTCCTTGCCTGGCTGGAGGTTCCTCCTGCCTTCTCTTCATTTGTTTTGGGAAACCCGTTTAATTTGAGTGATGATGTGTGTAGCTGGTGTCCTTTGGGTTGAAATCTGGCATTTTAGGGGTGAGTGTGAGCAGGACAGCGAGGAGCTGTGCATGAACAGGGGTGTCCACGTGTGAGGAGAGGTGGCTTTAATTAAATTGGTTCAATTTTGGGTGCTAACATGACTTTGTGTGTGTTGCTCTGCTGTGAGAAGGGAGTGAGCAGAGCAGCCCTGCCTTGCTTGCAGACTCACTTTTATTTTCACACAGCAAAGTGAACCCTGTGATTCTCCTGGAAATTGAAACCACATTTTCCTGGGGTTTTTTTGCCCCTCAAAAGCTGACAGTCCCTCCCTTTGATCTCCTTTCTGACTCTTAACAAAGTTGTGGGATCTCCATTTGGAGGGATTGTTTTGGAGACCTTGCACCTTAAGATGCAATCATAAAATCTTATTTGCGTCTTATTTGATGTTCTTTTGGAGAAATCCAGGCTGAGCAGCTCCTCCTGCCCTCCCAAGGGGGTGTTTCAGTCCCCCACCCCTGGGTGGCTCCAGGGGCTCCCTGTCCCTCCTGTCCCTGCAGGTGAGGGCTGAGTGGGGGCAGGATCCCCTCCCCGAGCCCCTGGCACGGGTGGGAATTGCTGCAGACCTCCTGCCCAGGAGGAAAACCCTTTGGAAGAGGCCAGGAGCACTTTTTGGGAGCTGCCCTGGCTCTGGAGTGGAGCTCAGCCTTGGGCTGAAGGGCCATGAATGTCACCTTGGCCAGCCCTGGCTCGCAGGGGCCCTGCCAAGTCTGGCACGTTTAATGTGCTCCTTTCCCAGGCATTCCTGGATTTATGGCTCCGTTCAGCTCAGCCCGCATGGAAAGCTCCCTCCAGAGGGTCACTCCACGCCACAACCTCTGTGGGCTCCCTGGAGGAAGCTGATGTGCTATTCCCTGGAAGACTTCCCCCTGAACAGGGCGTTTAGGCTGGATTTGGTGGGAATTTGGGCTTTGGAAGCTGGCAGGAGATCAGGAGATGTGTCTGGTGATTCTGTCTGAAGTTGGGGCTCTTACTCTGCTGCCTGCTCTAAAGGCTTCCTTGTTTTCAGGTGGGATGGATTTGGGAACGTGCTAATTGTGTAAAAATGAAAGAAAAAGAGGGGAAAAAAAGGAGAAACGTGTGAGAAAATGGATTTTAGCGATGCCTGCACCACACTGAGGAGCACATTTGGAGCTGGTTACCATCTGCAGCACGTGGCCAAAGCAAACACCACCAGCCCGGCCAGCTTTGGCTGCGTGAGTGCCATAAACCATTGCAAGGGCATCCAGACTAGCACAGCCCTGGAACCGCTTCCAGGATTAGGTCTCACTCCCTTGAAAAATAAACCTTGGCAAGAGCTCCGTTCTCCCCAATAAAAATTCCATTTTCACAGCTCCAATCAAGTTTTCCAGAGCCGTGGTCCAAACGAGAAACTGCACACAGCATCTCTGACCCGGGAGAAGGAGATGGAGCCTTGCATTTCAAGCTGTGCCAGGCTGGAAATTTCCAGAGTTCTCGGTGTCTCGCCCGTGGCAGAGCTGTGGAGTGTCCCAGGAAATCTGCTCCTGGCACAGCAAAGCTCTGCCACAACCAAATTCCTGCTCCCAGGTGGGTGAGGCTCCTCGGCAGGGCTCCTCACGGAGAGCTGGCATTGTCCAGCCTGGATGGAGAAGAGAAGGTTCTGGAATATCTCAGAGCCCTTCCAGGGCCTGACAGGCTCCAGGAGAGCTGGGGAGGGACTGGGCATGAGGGATGGAGGGACAGGACACAGGGAATGGCTTCACATTGGAAAATGGGAAATTTGGGTGGGATTTTGGGAAGGGATTGTTCCATGTTTGGGAGGGGCTGGGATGGAATTCTCAGAGGAGCCAGGGCTGCCCCTGGATGTTCCCAACACCAGGCTGGACACTGGGGCTCAGAGCAGCCTGGGATGGTGGAAGGAGCCCCTGCCCGTGGAACTGGCCACTTCCAGAATTCCATGATTCCCTGAACTTTTCCATTGGGTCTGTCTGTGAAGGGAGGATCCACACCACGCTGGATCTCTGTGTCTGAAGATGCCCAGAAACAAAAACCTGGGTGAGGCTGGGGCTGAAATGCTCAGGTGGGCTCCCAGTCATGGCAGCACGCTGGAGTCTGTGGCACCAGGGGGTCCAGAACACCTTTCATGGAGCTCTGGGCAGGGGAACAACGTGTAAAAACAACAGATGTGGCAAATCTCATCCTGAGAGCTCGCCACGGCTTGGTTTTGAGACAACAATAGCCTGGGTTTAAATTGCTTTGGGGGTTTTTTTTGGTTTGTTTTTTTTTTTCTCCAAGAAAACCTCCATGGGCAAAGAAATGATTGAAAGAAGGAGAAAAGGCTAAAAGTGCAGGTGGGGATTTGCCTAAAGGGAGCTGAGATGGGGAGGAGGGTTGAGCCTTGGAGAGCTCCTTGGTACCTGCAGGGAGATTTTCCTTCCGAGTTCCTGGGATGGATCCCAAGGGAATGACGGTGATTCAGTGTCCCATGAGCAATAGTCCTTCTGGGACATCCCTGTGGAAATGTGGCACTGCCTGAGGCTGGAAATGCAGGATGTGGCTGGGGGTGTGATTCCATTGTTGGTTTGTATTGCTGCATTTTTAATTTTAATTTTTATTTATTTTAATTTTTCCTAGTGAAGAACTGCCATTCCTACTCCCACATCTTTGCCCGAGAGCCCCTTCATTTCCAAATCACAATAACTCAGAGGGAGGGGTTTACATTTTCCATTTTGGGGGAGGCTCCTGCCCTCCTCAGCAGCCACCTGTCCTTCCAGACCAGGACAGGCACCTGGGGACACGGCTGGCACTGCCAGGTTGGCACTGCCATGTTGGTTTGTATTGCTGCATTTTTAATTTTAATTTTTATTTATTTTAATTTTTCCTAGTGAAGAACTGCCATTCCTACTCCCACATCTTTGCCCGAGAGCCCCTTCATTTCCAAATCACAATAACTCAGAGGGAGGGGTTTACATTTTCCATTTTGGGGGAGGCTCCTGCCCTCCTCAGCAGCCACCTGTCCTTCCAGACCAGGACAGGCACCTGGGGACACGGCTGGCACTGCCAGGTTGGTGCCTGGACCGTTCCTGGAGGGATTTTCCAGCCTAATGATTCCTCCTGGACCCTTCTGCAGGTTTGGGATGAGCTGGGGTACACAGGGGATGACTGTGGCTGTGTCCATGTTTTCCCAGGGTTTTCCAGGCGGGGCTGGCTCTGCAGCTCCTCGGAGGGGCTGGAACAGCAGCGTGGATTTTCCCCTGCTGGGGCAGCAGAGCAGAAGGGACGCGCTGTGCCTGGCTGATAACGAGGAACAAACTCAATTAACCACCACCAAACCCCTCTGCTTGCCGTGGGACACGGAGTCCTGAGCACCTCAAACCACACCCGGCCCTTCAGACCACGGCAATAATGGGAATTGCTGCAGGTTGGGTGCTTCTTTTCTTTTAAACACCTTTTTTTTTGTTTTAAACCCCTTTTTTTCTGTTTTAAACCCCTTTCCTGGCCATCATTTTACAGCTGGTTTTTCTTGGACACATGGGAACACCCCTGGTACAGCAGGTCTGTCACAACCCCGCTTCCCAGAGGGGAATTTGGCCCCCAGTCTGCTCCAGGATGTGCCATTAATCCATCATTTATTGTTTGGGAGAGCCCAGATGTGAGCACAGGAGCAGCCACTCCACAGCAATTTTGGCCAAGAGGTGCCAATTATCCAATTATTTCTTGGTACCATTTGAAAGAATTTTGGGTCCCCAGATGGGAGAGAACTGCAGGACATCTTCAATGGGAAGGGAAAAAACAGTGCTAACAGTCTGTCTTTATTAGCAGAGAAAAGAAAGATATTTTAGCTAAAGGCTTCCAACTTGAAAAAAAAAGGAAAAAAAAAAAAGGAAAATTCAACTGAGAGAAGTTACTGTTTTGAAAGAGTTCACTGGGTGGAGACATCAAACAGAAAGGATCTTGTGTAATTCTGCTTTCTTGGTCTAATGCTAAATTCACCCCTTTATTCCTTGGCTTTCCACAGGGAGATGGCCGAGGAATGCTCAGGGAAAAGCTGATTTTGGAGAGGCTGGAAGCACGAGGCACCTCCCGGGATCGGCCCCAGCCACTGCTGTCCCTCATTCTTGTGCAGACAGCTGATATTCCCGAGCTCTTCCCGCCCTCCAAGTCCTCTGCAAGTGTTAAGTATTTTTTTGCATCCAGCAAATGGAACAATAACAGAGGACTTAATTTTCCCATCTGTCAACTCATCCCGAACAAATTGTACGTCTTTCTCTTCGGAGTGAAATCTCAGCTAAATTAAAAGCTGTAGTGTTCATTTTCATGTAGCAGAGGTTCTGGAGGAAATTCTGTCGTCACATTTCTGCCTGGTTTTTGGGTTTTTTTTCTATTTTCTTTTTTAACTGTGTTACGAATGATGGATGGTTTGTTTTTGGAACTCGGGTGTTGGCTCTGTCTGAGGTGCCCAGCTTTAAACTGTGCTGCCCCAAAGTAATGCTGAGCAGGTTGAAGCCAGAATTTCATGGAATTCTGGAAGGATTGGGGCTGGAGGGACCTTAAATCCCATCCAGTGCCATGGCAGGGACACCTTCCACTGTCCCAGGGGACTCCAGCCCAGCCCTGGGCACTGCCAGGGATCCAGGGCAGCCACAGCTGCTCTGGGAATTCCATCCCAGCCCCTCCAGGGAACAATTCCTTCCCAAAATCCCATCCCTCCCTGCCCCCTGCCACTGGGAACCATTCCCTGTGTCCCGTCCCTCTCCTGGAGCAGCTTTGGGCTCTACCAGGAGCCTCCTTCTCTTCTCCAGGCTGAAATTTTGGGGCACAAACGCCGTGTCAAGGAAATCCAGGGTGAGTTTTTTTTGGAGATGTTCCTGAGCTGCTGCAGAGCCCGAGGGCCTCGAGCCCGTGGTGACACCAGAGGTGCCACCCTGCCCTGCTGAGGGCACGGCCAGGCCAGGGAGTGCTGCTCCTTCCCCTCTGACCCGGGCTGCAGCACGGGGTGTCCCAAGAGGGGTTTGGCGTGGCACAAGAGGGGCTTGGGGTGTCCCAAGAAGCATTTTGGGCATCACAGAGGGCATTTTGGGTGTCCCGGGAGGCTTTTAGGGTGGCAAAAGAGAGGCATTTTGGGTGGCACAAGAGGCATTTTGGGTGCAAAACCCCCCTTTTCTCTCAGAGTTTTATTTCTTTGCAGATGCCATCTGTCCTGCCCTCCTGCTGTCCCAACTTCACCCAGCTGGCTGGCTCAGATAAGGGCTCCAGGGGCAGATAAGAAGTTCTTTCCCTTCTCCTCCCTCTTCTGGAGCAGCAGCAAATGGTGAGGCTGAGCTTTCACAGCCCTTAAACACCCAGGAAAGTGAAACTAATCCCAGGCTCTGGGAAAAACATTTGTCAACGCAAATCCCTGGTGAGAGAAGTGAAATAATAACCCAAAAAAAAGTTGGTTGCCCTTCTCCTCAGCAGCCCTGAGCCACCCTTGAGGTTCCAGGGCAGGGTCACCTGGAGCAAACCCCAGTTCTGTGATGTGGCAAAGACACACCCTGCAGGAGGCAGCTTGGAATTGGGCTCCGGAGCCGTTTCCATGGGAAAACAAAGGGGATTCTGTGACAGCGCAGAGCAAGTGCCAGCTCCGGGCTAGGAACTCTCTCCAGCCCGTGCTAAGTGCAGGATGTTCCTCACCAGGTCCCTCCAAGCCAGCAGCAGCTTTTCCCACCCTTCCCCATCAGGCAGCTTGAGTGCAAGGTGGTGACAAGCCCCAGAAAACTGGGAGAATTTCAGGGCAAATCAATGACTTCTCCTCCTTGCCTGGTGCTTGTCCCTCAGAGAGGCATTCCCAGGGGATATCCATGGATGCAGCAGGAGGCAGGGGCAGGAATCCTGAGGAGCTGTGGGAAGTGCCCCACACCGATGATGAAGGAGAAGAGTGATGCCTTGGACTGAGCTGGAACAGGGGCTGGGCAGAGCTCCAGAATAAAGCAGGGATTGATTCCAAGGATCTCCTCCATGGATCCACCTTGGGCAGCAGCAGAGCCCAGCCAGGGCTGCACCCAAGATGAACCCAAATGGCCCCAAAATGCACGAGGGTCACGGCTCTGTCCCTGGGCTCAGCTCTGCTCCATGTGCACATTGCAGCTCAGTGTCCAATCCCACTGCAGCCCCTGCAGTCCCATCCTTGTTTTCCTCTCTTCATTCCACGGGCTTTGTGCTCCTGGGCTGAGATTTGGATCATCTGTCCTTGGTGCCCAGCTGGAGCAGGAATTGTTTTGTCTCCCTGCTCTGTGCACAGCTCACCATCCCCAGTGTGGAGCCCAGACCCACACACTAAAGCAGCACTGAACCTGAAAAATAGTGCAGCCCCTGCAGTCCCATCCTGCTTGTTTTTCTCTCTTCATTCCACGGGCTTTGTGCTCCTGGGCTGAGATTTGGATCATCTGTCCTTGGTGCCCAGCTGGAGCAGGAATTGTTTTGTCTCCCTGCTCTGTGCAGAGCTCACCATCCCCAGTGTGGAGCTCAGCACTGCACACTAAAGCAGCACAGAACCTGAAAATACAAAATCTACACCTGAGGCACCAGGAGGAGGGGCAGAGGCAGCTCCTGCCCGGCTCGGGGCGCTGGGAGCGGCTGGAGCCTCTGTCCAGGACCAGGAGGAGCTCTGGAGCAGACCTGCAGCGGGTCAGGCTCAGGTGTTTGTTTTTGCTGGCAGGTGCTGATGTCAGGACGAGGGACGTGGCCACACAAGGGTCTGCCCTGGTGGGGTCACGGTGCCAGCAGCAGCGTGAGAGCACACGGGAAGGGGCAGGAAAAGCTCCGGAGGTTTGGGTCGGGGCTGCGCACAAAAGGCTCTTTGTGCCCAGGGCTGACAGTGAGAAATAAAGAGGAACCTGTTGATCGAGGAGAGAAATGGAGGATTATGCAGAGAGCACATGGGGGGGAAAAGACCTTGGCTGTTTGTCTGGCTGTCAGTCTGGTCCGTCATTAAAGCGCTTCACTTAAAATTTAAAAAAAATTAAAATACAAAAAACTCTTAGAACTTTAAACCTAGAAACTAAAACTTCAACAAAAAAATTAATATGAAATCTTAAAAAAACCTTCTAAACTTAAATATTAAAAATATGTAAATTTATAATTTAAAATAAAACCACGTTAAACTAAAAAAAAAATTAAAATATAAAAAATAAAATAACTGCAAAAATAAATAAAAATTAAAATACAGTGCTATATAAATATGATATATTATAAAATTATATATATGAATATATGTAAAGATGCAATAATATAATTGTAATAATAGCAATATGAAAGACTATGTAATTATATAAATATAAGTAAATATATAAATATTATATATAAGTAAATGTATAAATATTATATATATTATGAATTAAAATAGAATAAATTTATATATAATAACACAATTAAGTAAAAAACCTTGGACTGTAACACAAATACAAGATCCAAACTCAGCCTCTAACATGTAACACTGTTTTTTCCTTAGCAGAGGCGCTCTGGCTCGCAGCCAGCCGGGCGGTGTTGGGACAGAATCAATGTTTGCAAACCCCTCTGATGGCAGCAGCCAGGCTCAGCCCCGTGCCTGCCCATAAATCCAGGACACAAAGAAACGCCGGTAACAAAACGCCTGTAACTCAGCACAGCTCCTGGAAGGAGCCCAAAAGCCGTGTCTAATGCTAATAATAAGCGTATTTCCCAAAGGTAACATTTGATTTCTCTCCAAAACGAAACATATTTGAAGCTCTGCCTGGTTGGGGTTGTATGGAGATTAACCGGGGCGCTTTAATGTGTGGCTGAGTTTGTAAAGCCTTCAGCCAGCTCTGGAGGAGCTGCCCCATCCTGACAAGACCCAAAACCACTTCCCAGATAATGTGGTGTTTTCCACAGCGAGCCTGGAAAAATCCAGGGAAGGGCTTTGGGTTTGTGGCACGCACATCTGGCGAGCCAGAGCGCGGAGCGGCGAGCGCAGAGCGCGCTGACCAGAAATGTTTGTGCTGAGCATCGATGGGCTGCCCAAAATGACCTCCAGAGCCCGTGCAGAGCTCCGAGGGCTTCCAAAAAATCCATCCCAGCCCATTATGTGCTGGAATGCATCCGGGTGCACCATGCCTGGAGCCTCTGCTAGGGAGAGCGATGGAAACGGGTGGGATTCGGGATAAATCAGGCTGGTGGAGGGGGGAAATCACGACAGAATGCTGTCCCCTGTTTTGTTTCTTTATCTTGATTTCTTTATCTTGGTTTCTTTATCTTGATTTCTGTATCTTTGCAGCTGGGGGAGGGGAGCCCCAGAGGGAGCGGGCCCTGGCTGCCCCGCGAGCGCTTGCAATCAATGCAGATAATGCACTTGGAAGTGCTCTCTCCTCTGCTGGTTTTCCGTAAATCGCTGGGCACAGCTTCCCAGTGATAATGGCAGAGCTGCGCCTGTGCCAGCACGGACTGAGCTCCAAGTGAAAAAGGAGAGTGCAGTTCCTTGGGATGCTTTAGTCTGGGAGCTCCCCCCGGGGTTCCACCTCTTCTTCCCGTGGAACAGAGCGTTCCTCCCTTCCCTGGAGTTTACCCAAAGACACAACGAACCCAAACATCCTCCTCCTCCTCCTGGAAGTGCTGCTCAGGGAGGTCTGGAGTCCCCAGCCCTGGATGCTGAGCTTCCAGAATGCTGGAATGGTTGGGCTTGGAAGGCACCTCAAAGCTCTCCACATCGTCCCAGGTGTCCAAGGAATTCTGGATGTGGCACTCAGGTGACAAGGTGGGGATGGGGCACAGCCTGGACTCCATGACCTCAGAGGGCTTTTCCACCCTCAGGGATTCTGGAATTCCTGCTCACCAACCAGAGCCTTTTTCCAAGCACTGCTCTTCCCTTCCCCTTTGCCATCCTGATTTTCCACCCTGGTGGGTGGGTGATACATTCCCAGAACAGCTGGATTAGGCCTAGGGACGAATTAGCCTCATTGAAAATATAAAATAATAATTAATCATTAAAAATACAAACTAATAATTCCTTGTTCCAAGTTTTCCATGGACAGCCCTGCCAGGGATTGAGTGCCTGATGCTGGAGTGGGGCTCAGCTTTTCTTTAAAGCTATTTTTTAACTGGAGGCAGCTCTATTGATGTGATTTGGGAGGGCAATTTTTGGGACTCGGTGACCTTGGAGGGTTTTTCCAACCTCAGGGATTCTGGAATTCCTGCTCACCAACCAGAGCCTTTTTCCAAGCGCTGCTCTTCCCTCCCGCTTTGCCATCCTGATTTTTCACCCTGGTTGTGGTGGATTAGGCTTAGGGTCCAATTAACTAGATTAAAATAGGTCCAGTGATTTAGTTTAACAGTATAAGCTAACAATTCCTCATTAAAAATATAAACAAATAGTTCCTCATTCAGAATATAAATTAAGAATTCCTCGTTCCAAGTTGGTTTTCCATGGACAGCCCCAGCAGGGATTGAGTGCCTGATACTGGAGCTGGGGTTCAGCTTTTTTTTAAATACTGTTTTTTTAACTGGAGGCAGCTCTATTTATCCATGCTTTGGGAGAGTAATTTAATGGGTAAATATAATCTTTATTAATATTTTCTTTGTTAACTCATTGATGTTGGTAAAGAGCTTTGAAGATGAAAGCGCTGTGTGCAATAAATATTAACGTTATTCCAACTTATTTGAATGTTGCCAGCATTCCAGCTCCAACATCTTTCATCCAAGAATCTCAAAGTGCTTTTCCAAATGTTAATTAATTTCCTCTCAGCAGTCCAGGGAGACACCTTTTATCAGCAGCATCTTCCTTTCCCCAAGGAGTTGTTCCGAGTGCATTTTACCCCACGGATTTGGGCAAGCTCAGGGAATGTGGCAGGCGTTTTTTGGGATTGATCCAAGAATTCCAGGCTCCCTCCCGTTCTCCCAGCCCTGCTGCCTGACAGCATTCCCTTCCTGGGAGTGGGGTGTGACTCTCAGCTGCTTTAGTGGTGGCTCTTGAAAGGAAAAACCCAGGCAAGGATCACAAGCCCCACCCAGGGCAGGGGAGGAAATGAAACTCTTCCAGATCAGGATGATCCCAATCAGGAATCCACAAATTTTCAGGATTTTCTGTGTGCAGGAGGAAGTCTTGAGGGGAAGTTGAGTCAGAATGTTGTAATTCTTGCTTAAAAGATGATTAAAATGCAAGTATTTTCTGAAATGCAGCGTAGGTGAAGATCTGAGGTGAAGGAAATGAAACTCTTCCAAATCAGGATGATCCTGGTAAGGGATCCACCAATTTTCAAGATTTTGGTGTTTCATTTTTTGATTTTTCAGGAGGAGATCTTGACGGGGTGTTGAGTCAGAATCTCGTCATTCTTACTTAGAAGACCATTAAAATGGAAATATTTTCTGAAATGCAGCACAGGGGAGGATCTGAGCTAAAGGAAATGAAAATCTTCCAAATCAGGATGATCACAGCCAGGAATCCACAAATTTTCAGGATTTTTGATCTGCAGGAGGAAATCTTGATGGGCTGTTGAGTAGAATCTCATAATAATTCCTATTTAAGGGAAGATTAAAATGGAAGTATTTTCTCAAATGCAGCACAGGTGAAGAAGATCTGAGCTGAAGGAAATTAAATTCTTCCAAGTCACAATGATCACAGCCAGGAATCCACAAATTTTCAGGATTTTTGATCTGCAGGAGGAAATCTTGATGGGATGTTGAGTCAGGATCTCGTAATTCTTATTTGAAAGGCCATTAAAGTGGAAATATTTTCTCAGGTGAAGATCTGAGCTGAAGGAAATGGAACTCTTCCAAATCAGGATGATCCCGGTAAGAGATCCACCAATTTCCAGGATTTTAATGTTTCATTTTTTGATTTTTCAGGAGGAAATCTTGATGGGGTGTTGAGTCAGGATCTCATAGTTCTTACTTGAAAGACCATTAAAATGGAAATATTTTCTGAAATGCAGCACAGATGGAGATCTGAGCTGCAGGGGAAATGCTGCAGGTGAAACTTCTCCTGAAAAACCCTCCCCAGTCCAGAGGTGAGTGAGTGATGAGCCAAAAAAAGAGGATTTCGAGACAACGTGACTCCAGCAGGCCATGAGAACAATGAGAAGTTCAAAAATAGCACTATTGACTGGTGGAAAAACAACATACATATAATTTTCAGGTAATTACTGCAGCATAATTAGCTGGGTTGTTTTCACATGAGCCATCTGAAATGAACTCTGCTCGCTGCTGGAGCTCAGCTTCATTTGCAGCATTCCCATGACTCAGGGGATGCTGGAAGGAGAGGGATTGGGTGAAAAATGAAGATTTTTTTTTTTTTTCCCTAGCTGAGCCCATCTCAGGGCACAGCCTTGCTGCTGCTGCTTTATCCTGAGTTTATCCTGCTTTTTAGGAAAAAAAAAAAAAAAGGAAATTTGGAGCAAAATCTACTCTATAGGAATTCCATGTGTGGGCCATAATGGGAATTATAGGACAGGAGAGAGACTCGAATTGGAACAGGCCGTTTTCTAGATCACTCTCTGGAAAAATGATTGTAAATTCAGATTACATGAAAATACCAGTATTTTACATGCACTGTGTGAGTGGAGGGATGGGGGAACATCCTAAGGACTCGCTCTCCAAATTCTGGAAAATGTGAATTATTTTTATTTCCTTGTTTTATTGCCACAGGCTTTGCTTATTAAGAATCATTTACTATCTGTAGAAACAACTGACTTAAGCACTGGGGCCTTAAAAATCACTTTTAATTGGAATGAGAGAGTTCCTCCCAGTGAAACCCTGGGTTTGTTGATGCTGGAAGTCTGGAGAGTGCAATTAAAAGCCTCCCTCACCTCTGTGATGATATTTTGGAAATAAATGCAGTTTTCTGGAGTTCTTCTCCTCAGGTTTGAGTAGTTTTTGGCCAATTTGGAGCTTCTGGAGGATCTGATGTTTTAAGTCTTGCCTGGCTTTGAATTTCTCAGCTCCCCGGGACCTGCTGTGGTTGCTTTTTACTCTTTCTTCTCGTGTTGCATCCACAAATTATGAAAATGGGTGCTAATGACCCAAAAAAAAAAATCCCAATCGTGATTCATGGAAATGGAATTTTGTTGACAAAAAAAAAGGGGATTTAACTCGGCCAAAGGAAATGCTTTTCCAAGTGGAGATGAATATCTCAGGAATGACCATTTCTTCTCAGAGACAGAACTATTCCAGTTTTAATTTCAGAAAAAAAAAAAATAGAATAATTCAAAGAACCTGGAGAAAAGCAAGCAGATCCACCCACCAGGGGTGGTTTTTGCAGGGAAAGAAGTGCCAGAAGTGAATTTTAGGTGAGTGAAACGCAGGTGAGGAGGATGCTGGGGCAGGAAACGCTGTCACCTCCCTGGGCTGGCCACACCTCGTCCCAGTGCAGCCCAGCAGCTCCCAGTCCCGGAGTGCTTCGGCTTGGGAGGCACCTCCGAGCTCCCCTCCTCCTCCTCGTCATCCCAGCTGTCCCCACGTCTGCTCCCGAGGTCCCCAGGTGTCCCCAGCCCTGGTCCTGGTGTCCCCAGGATTCCCCAGGGCTGGTTTTGATAGGCCAGGTGTCCCCAACCCTGTCCCCAGAGTGTCCTCAGGTGCCCCAGGTCTTGGTCTTCGTGTCCCTTAGACCCCCTCAGCCCCATCCCCAATGTCCCCAAGTGTCCCCACCCCTGGTCCTGGTATCCCTAACCCTGTCCCCGATGTCCCCAACCCTGTCCCTGATGTCCCCAGGTGTCCCCACTGCTGTCCACAATGTCCCCAGCCCTGTCCAGGTGTCCCCCAACCTCTCCCCACGCGTCCCTAACCCAGTCCCTGATGTCCCTCAATGTCCCCAGCCCTGTTCCTGGTGTCCCCAGTCCTGGTCCTGGTGTCTCTGGGTGTTGCCAGTCCTGTCCCCAACATTCCCAGGTGTTCCTCACCCTGTTCCCGATGTCCTCAGGTGTCCCCAGTGCTGTCCCAAACATCCCCAGGTGTCCCCAACCCTGTCCCCAGGTGTCCCCCCCTCATCTGCGGGCAGGTGCCCCACACCAGTACAGGCATGCACGGGGGACTGGGGGATACTGGGGGATACTGGGAGCCGCTCCCACCCCAGGATCATCCCGAGAATGCAAATCCTGGCTGATCGTTGTGGCCATGGCCATTGTCCTGTGGGGCTGGGGAGTGACAGGGGCCGGCATGGGAATTCTGTCACTCTGGGCTGGGAATACAGGTGGGAATTCTGTCATTCCAGGTTGGGAATAAGGGTTGGGAATTCTGTCACTCCAGGTTGGGAATTCTGTCACTCCAGGTTGGGAATTCTGTCACTCCAGGTTGGGAATTCTGTCACTCCAGGTTGGGAATTCTGTCACTCCAGGTTGGGAATTCTGTCACTCCAGGTTGGGAATTCTGTCACTCCAGGTTGGGAATTCTGTCACTCCAGGTTGGGAATTCTGTCACTCTGGACTGGGTATACAGGCTGGGAATTCTGTCATTCCAGGTTGGGAATAAGGGTTGGGAATTCTGTCACTCCAAACTGGGAATTCTGTCATTCCAGACTGGGAATAAGGGCTGGGAATTCTGTCACTCCAGGTTGGGAATCCAGGCTGGGAATTCTGTCATTCCAGGCTGGGTATACAGCTGGAATTCTGTCATTCCAGGTTGGGAATACAGCTGGGAATTCTGCCACTGCAGGCCAGGAGTACAGCTGGGAATTCCATCATTCCAGGCTGGGAATTCTGCAGTCCCAGGACGCGGCGGGCGCTGTCAGTCGTGGCAGAGGTTTGAGGAGTGGCAGCGAGCAGAGCAGAGCCGGGGCAGAGGCAGGGCGGGGTGTGAACAACACCAGGGTGAGCACAGCCTGGATGTCGGAGCAGGGAAACACCAGGGAACAGGGAAATGAGGGATGTGGCACGCTGCTGCCTCATTAACAATCCCAGAAACTCGTTTGCATGTGATTTCCATGGTGCCACTGCCGGGGTGACGTTCCCCAAATGCCCCAGGATCGCTCCCTAAATTCAGATTTGAGCTCCCCTCCGGGGGTTTTCACAGCACGGGCAGCAAAGTTTCCTTCCTAAGCAGCAGCCCTGGTTTGGGCCCAGGCTGGGAGAGGATGGAAACACAACATGATAGAATTTGGTCTGGTATTGCTCTTGGATGTGGATCTTGGGGAGATGTTTGTGCCAGCCCACTCCACATCGACTTCCTGCTCAGCACAAGGAGCCACATGTTGTTATAAAGTTAAAAATGGGTTTATTTTATCAGATATGGGCTATTCCATTGTCTTCTCGTGCAGCCAAGTAATTTTCACTGAAGTATTCCTCTTTCTGTCCCTCAGAAAAGGGTATTTCACACATTTCATGCCTGCAGCAACCTCAGCAATAAAGGGATTTTAAGGGCTTGGTTGTGTTTTCTATCAAGAAATAGTAACTGAGAGTCTCTCATTAAATCAGTTTTATTCAGGCTCAGAAATGCTCTTGTATTACTTTTAAGCAAAGAGTAAATTTGCATTATTGGGCAAAGAGGGAATTCGTGGATACTCAGACTAATGAAAACAATATGGTCACAGAAAAAAATGCATATCTTTAAAAAATACTATTGTGTCTGGACCTGGCTTTGAGCATGTGAGTTATGTGACACGATACATTTTTTTGGGAAGTTACAGAAGAGGAAAATAAAAGAAATGGGGGGGTAGGAGACAGATTCTCAAGTCATTTATTTTACTGCGATAGGGCCAAAAGGGGGAAATGCAACTTTGGAAAACTGGGAATTGAAAATATCAAAATTTTGGAGGGTTGAGGGAAATCTTGATCTTTCATTTTCTCTCCCCACAGAGGCTAAAAATAAAAAAAAATACTGTAGCTCTAGCTCAGAAGCAGAACAACTGGAGGATTGTTTTGGGGCTGTTCTCCCCTACTCCAGTTGCATCCCAGTATTTTCTTCTGGAAATGGAGAGAGAATGAAAGATTTAATTTTCGGACAGATCTGAGCGCTGCCATCACTGCCACAGCTGGAGCCACTGAGAGCACCTCTGGAAATGACTGCGTGTTGACAAAGGCTTTTTTTGGCAATAAACCATCATCTGAGCCTCGGGAGCAGAGAGGAACAAAATTTCACTACATGTAAATAATAGCCTAAAAATAGAACTGCAGATTGTTTTTCTCATTAAGTTCCTTCTCCATCCTCCAGTATGTTCTGCACTGAAAAGGGAGTGACTATCAAAAAGCCCAAACTGAAAAAAAAAATGAAGAGCCTGGGTGAGGTTTGGCTGTGAAAAACACTGGCAGGACCATTTTAAACCTGATTTTCTGTATCGCCTTTTTTAGTTTGCTTCCTTATTTTAATGCAGCCGAAGCCATTCTGGGGCTGTTTTATTTAAAGCAAGTTTTGAGAGAGGACGCTGTGGTTTATGGCCACGTGTCAAGTTTGATAGTGTTGTGCCATGATTTAGCAAAACACTTGAAGCACATGTCCACATCCCACTGAATTTGGTAGGAAGTGAAGAAGCAGAGGAAAAGCTGTTTGGCTGTGCAGCAGCCTCATTCAGGGGGGAAAAAACCCAAAAGTAATTGAAATAAACCAAGGATTTGTCTCCACACAATTACAGAGCTTTGAGGCCAAATTCTTTCAACTTGCAGTGAACTCATTGATCATATTAGATCAGGATTATGGCACGTGTTTAATAATTTCAAACGAAAGGGTTCTGCACTGGGCTGCTCAGACCACTGAAATAGACGGGCTAATTATGGGAGCCGTGGGCGTGCTGGAGTCATCTGACTTTTATTTTTTTTTAGCTATCTCACCCTGCCCCCTCCCCAAACCAGCCTTTCAGACACCGAGAGAAATCTTCATCACACGCAGGATTAGCGGAGTGCTGCTCATTTTCCGAGAGCTTCGTTTGAACGTGGCAGAACTCCAGCAGAAGAGTGGCCATCGATGGAACGGGGATGAGGGATGAAGGAAGAGGGGTGGCAGCCTGGAGTTCCCCCCGTTTTCTGCCAGGCTGGAGAAGATTTCTGGGTGAAAGGCTGGGAAATGAAAAGTTTGGGAAGAGATATGAGTGCTGTGCTTTGCTCAGCGTATCAGACTTCATTATATCCTCACCATAAACAGGATGCCATCAAAAATCTGCTTATTGAACACATATAATTTATGTACATGTTCATATATTTATTTATATATGTTCAGATAATTGATATATGCTCCTTTTCTAGGTTAAGTTTATGTGACCACCTTGTCCATACAATTTTGTCCTGGATTGATGGAATGTGCCACATCCTGATACCATTCCATTGTCATCCCTACTTACTAGGAGTTGTTTTTCTAGGACTTCATATAAATAATCGTACAAATAAACAGCATTGTATCAAAAAGCTCCTTAACCACATTTGACACCTCTCTCCCATTCTTCCCCTAACACAAACTACCTAATTTTAAATCCTGGGTAACCCTCTGAGTCAAATGTTTTAAATTTAAATTCTGTAACTGCCCTTCGTGGTTATCTTACCCCAGGTTCCCTGCACGCCTTGTTTGAATCTGCAGGGTTAAGACATTAAAGTTTTATTTTATTTTCAGTGCCCATAATCTGAGTGCTTTCTGAATGTAGGGTGATGGATTTTATGGCAGCTATGGAAAAACAGGAACTTTTGTCTTCTTTGTTCTGTGCATTAAGGTGAAGGCCAAGGAGAGAAATTGTCATGGTGATCTATATTTACGGAATAACACACAGGTAGAAAGAAGCTGAATCAAACTATAGTGACCTAAACACGAACATTTAATCCATCCAAATTCAAACTGATGCCATCATCTCACCAGGGAGAATTTTGGTACATATTTCCCCCTTTGTACTACCTGGCTTGCTGTTGTAGAACACAAATTTCACTCAAAATTGACACGAAATGGGCGTATTTGGATCCCAATTCTGCTCTTTGGGACTCCTAAAACACCTGCACTGCTGTTCCTCGGTAACAGGGAAACCCGGGCGGGCTCACGGTGATTCCTGAACTTCTCTGCACAAGCCCAGGGAAATAAAAATTATAATTCCCCGAAATAAAACTCAGAATTCCCCGAAATAAAACTCGTAATTTCCCGGTTGGTGCAGACCAGGAGCCGGAGGTTCCGCCGGCGCCCGCTGAGGTAGCACGGCCCCATCCCGTCCCACTCCTAAAGATCACAACCAGCGGATTAACTAGCAGGACGCGGAGGCGCAAACCCCCATTTTAATCAATTTATTTATTACTGCAGGAAGGCGCATCCCCGCTGTGGCGACGCGCAGGGTGCCCGCGGGGCTGAGGGGAGCCGGGCGCCCGGAGGGACCCGCGCCCCTCACGGAGCGCGCGGCGGGGCCGGCAGCCCGGCGGGAGCGAGCCCCGGCGGCGGCGGCGGTGACAGCGCGGGGAGCGCGCCGGGCGGGCCGGCTCGCCGCCCCTCCGGTAAATAAAGAACGTCACAAGCAGATGTGGAGGAGTTCCGCGGTGTTGAGCTGGCGGCCGTCCCTGTCATCCTGCGGAACGCGTGGAAAGGGGCGCTCCGAGGCGGCCCGGCCGGCGCTGCCCGGGCGGGGGTCGCTGCTTTTGGGGAGGTTTTGGGGGATTTTTTTGGGGGGGTTTTGGGCGCTCAGCCGGGGGGCAGGAGCGGGAGGAGCTCTGCCGAACGCGGAACTTCGGGTTGTCTAAGGCGCAGGAGAATCAGCAGTTTTGAGGAAGAGCAGCCGCAGGATAGAGGGTGGTAAGCATCCGCCCCAAAAATCCCAGGAAAAGACCCCCCCGAAACTTTGCGGGCGCTTCAGGGCCGTGTGTGGGCGCAGGCTGTGCCCCGCACACCCTGCGGGGTGTTAAAAGTTCCAGAGTTCCCTCGCAGTTGTCGCAGGGTGGTTATTCACCAGGAGGGCTCCTGCCTCTTAAAGTTCGCAGGGAGAGCGGCAGGGATCAGGTGGATGTGAAATGTGTACGGGCGCGTGAAGTGTGCGAGATAAACTACGGAACATGTCAAGTATGACTAAGGAAATATTCTGGCTTTCCCTCGAGGTTTGGTAGATCTCGGTTTTCTGTGTATCAAAGGTACCGTGCGCTTTCGTTTTTAGATGCTTAAGGAGCTGTCAGCAGGTGAAGAAATATCAAATCTTGGGTGTGTGCTGACTTGTGTGGGTCAGGAGCCTTCAGATCCTCCTTTAAATCCTCCTCTGGCCCTCGTTTTTCTGGCTATCTTCAGCCCACATTGTATGGCTTGAGCTGTGTAGTCCTTAAGCCTTTTTTCTTTTCAAGCCCTGCTTCCCACATAACGAGATCAAAGGGTTAAGATGTGATTCCAGTGCTCAACTTTTTGTTAATTTTAGCGTGGCAAATGGAATAGTGTGTTTTGGTGAGTAACTGCGAGAGTTTCGTGCTGCACAGCAGCCAGCTTGGCTTTACGTGATGCCTTTATTAGCAAGGGGGACTCAGAAGGAGTTCAAAGAGATGGGAGAGAGGGAATAAAGTCATTCCAAACCCTTCATTGATCACTGCTAGAAATCTCCTTCTTGAGAATCAGTAGAGAAAAATCAGAGTTTTTTAAATTTATGTTTCCTAAAGTGCCATGCTGCCTCAGGCATGTGGAGGGTAAATGCCCAAGTCACTGTTTTATTCTCAATTTCAGTTTTCTGCTCAGGGTATGACTGGAGTGGTGCTTGCAGGCAGGGACTGGAGGATGGCACTCTGTGAGAAGTTGGGCTTTTTTCTGTAGCGATGGGAGCTTGGCAGTTTGCTTAACAAAAAAGTCATTGCTTCATAAATTCTGGAAGACCTCACGACATCCTGATGATTTTTTTTTGTCCTTAGACTGTACAGAATTAAGAAGGTGCATGGGTCCTGCTCTGTCAGGAAGGAGAGGGGACACAAAATCTCCTGCTTGGGCTTGGGGCTGTCACCCTGCAGCTTTCCAGGCTCTCAGGTGCTCCTCAGAAAAATGTAGCAATTTCTGGCATCGTGGCTGGGGACACTGGCTATTTTTTAAGCAGGAGTAAATCCCCAGAAAATGTGCTTTTAAGTTCTTTTTTTGGGAGTTGAAAGGGAGGGTTTGTGATTGAGACTCTGCTCTTTGAAGAATGACCAGTGAATCCCTGAATTCCTTTAATTATTTTCTCAGGTAAAACTTTGTACAGTTCCCCTCTGATTAATTAGCAAATGGGGTTGATTTCAGATTTAGTGACCTTTAAAAACTAAAATGAACTGTAGTACTTGGGCAGGGGCTCTTTTGCCTGGCCAGAAGAAGTTTGTCAGAAAAACTTACTCAAGTTTCTGAAACTTTGTTGCCTTCCTGTGCAAAGAACCCTGGGGCTATGTGTGGGGAGTGCCACATGTGGAAATTGGGGAATGTGATATGATGGGTGCTATTGCCAAAGGAAAATTAAAGTTCTTGCTCCCTCCAGAAAAACAGTGGTCAGCCTGACTTGCCACAATTTTTCACGGAGTTTTAATCATGAAATTGCCTTTCCTGTAATGTATTTTTCTTCCCACAAACGAGAGCCTTTCAGCCTTTTTTGCCCCCATTTGGGATTGTTTGTTCTGTGGGGGAAAAAAATAAATCAGATAAGATGAAACACAACTTTGCAGATCCCAGCCTGGGGAGGTTCCTGAGCTCCTGGGTGCTCGGGAAGGTCGGCATAGATTGAAGCAGTATGTTTTCCTTTCTGCTGCTGAAATAAGGTAACTGCAAAGTTTGTTCTCCTGCAGACTTCTCCCTCACTCCATAGGCTGAGGCATATGTGAATTTTCCTGATCTTAATTACTATTCCTGTCTAATTGCACCCAGACTCTAATTTATCTCAAGGTAAGCTATTTAAAGCTCTTTCTAATTGGAAGGAGTATACTTGAGTGATTAAATCTTTCCTTCAATATTTCTTACATCTCTTTAAATTGGTTATTAGATTGTTGTGATCTTTGCCTTCCACTCCAGCATTTTGGAAATCATTACACAGTTTGCAATAATCAATTCAATTAACCACGGATCAAAGAATGAAAAAGAAAAGCTTATGTTCAAGTATTGTCATTCTTGATACTGTCCTAAGAAGCTGGTTTGGAAAGCACATGCTGGGAGGTTTTCTCCTTTGTTCTCTCTCCTTTTAAGAAAGTGCCTTTGGGGATTGAAGAGATCCCTGGTGTGTTTCTTGTTAGACATAATTTATACTTTAAAAAAAAAAAAAGTGAGCCAAGAGTTTGAATGAAAATTCATCACAGCATTTCCACACAATGGTGAGGAACACAAACCACTTAGAAGTATTCTCAGTTGGGAAATACCCCTCCCTGGAATCCAGGGAGGCACTTTTGGGATAACAGTGACAAATGGACCTGTGGCATTGCATCCCTAATTTTAATCAACACCATCTACCTGTTTCAGTGCTCAGTTAGAACTTTACACTTCTGCATTACGAGCTCTTCCTGCTTAATCCTTTTATAAGGTGCTGGGCTTGTGTGTTGCAGAGATTAAAGTAAATATAATCTACTTTCCATTGTTATCTGAGCCCCTGGATTACGTTTGTTCGTGCTCTAATTTGGTGTGTACCAGCAGAATTGTATTTTGCACTGAGTTTTGGGCTGGGTATCTTCTTTTTTTTTGAGCTTTAGGTCATCAGCACTGGGGTTGCAGATATCAGAGGGATAAAATTGGCAGCTGAACTGTCCAAGCCTCAATCCATAACCCTTTTTTATTGCCAAGAACCCCCAGATTGTTGCATGCACATAAATACAGTGCCAGAGAACTTTGGGTAAACCTTCCCTGTCCTGTCTGTGCAAGTCAAATTCACTTCAGGAGGAAGCACCAGCCTTTCATAGTAGTTATTTTTAATTGATATACAGATTATTTTCTTTTGGTTATAAAGATGTTTAGGAATCCCAGTTAGAAGCAGGTAGGAGGTGCACCTTATTCAGCTTTATTGCACGAGAAAAGTGTTCCTGCAGGGAGGAGAAGTGCTCAGGGTGCCTGGCCATTGGTAAGAATATTCCTGGATCAGGAGAAACAGTTAACAACATCCCACGGAGCAGGGTGTGGGGAGCTGGGATACCTCTGATACTGCAGTTATTTATAGGGATGGAGCCTCTGAGTGCTGTGGGTTGTACCCTGCCCTGCATCCAGCAGAGCCCAGGGAGGGCAGGCTTGTCCCTAATGCGTTTGGCACGGTGGGATGGAGTTCCTGGAATCTCTTCTCGGGGAAAGCAGCCTCTCATCAGTGCTCTCTTCAGTGCCATTAGAGTGAAAACCAAACCAGAGCTTCGGGCACTTGAGACTGGAGTGCTCCCTGTAATTGTTCTGAGATAGCCCCAGCCCTGTCCTTTCTCTGGAGCATCTCCTGGAAATCTTGTTTGTCCTGAAGCTTGGGGTGAGGTGGGGGCTGACCCTTTGGATCATCTCCTGGAAAACTTGTTTGTCCTAAAGCTTGGGGTGAGGTGAGGGCTGACTCTTTAGAGAATCTCCTGGAATTCTTGTTTGCCCTAAAGCTTGGGGTGAGTTAGGCTGACCCTTTAGAGCTTCTCCTGGAATTCTTGTTTGTCCTAAAGCTTGGGGTGAGGTGAGGGCTGACTCTTTAGAGAATCTCCTGGAAT